AGCTAGGGGTCTTTGTAAACATTGTGAAGCGGGTATATACTTCCTTGGAGATTCCATTGTTCTTGCTTCTGAACCCTTCTCGATAAAGTTCTTCTTCTGTATCGTATACATAAGCGCCAAGCGGCAGGAATCCCAGCCACAAACAACAAAGTATAACTGCGTTCGAGTTACACCCTTCCTCTTCTCTTTGAGAAATCTGAGGCTTTTTAACGATTGTGTGTGGGCAAGTCAACTACCCTAAGATGCCCCTCCTTATCCCACTTGCTCATGGTCAGTCTTCTCATTCTCCAAATTGCCAAACGTATCTTGAGATTCACATGCAGCGTATTGTCCGTGTCGGAGGCGACATTTCAAGCTCTCTGCATCGTGCCGTCAACAAATCCGATATTGCGGACGCATTGGGGATGATTGACATGGATGAAGCAACCTGCATAAGAACTCATGACCAGAAATAGTAACTTGGGGCACGCACAGGGTGGCTGGACGGTTTCTCAAACATATGGTGGCCACGGGTCGTGTTGTCTCGCGCGTGAGGAATGGTAGAGCCACACAGTTGACGCAGCACCCGTATAACTAGCCTCACAAGTGGCATAGGGGGGATATTGGATATCGCCATCTCTTACCCAAGGCAACGAGAGAGCGATATAACAACTGCTTCGTGATGCTGCCCGCATACCACAATCCGCGGACCAAGCACCGCAGCTCGAATGCTCATCCCTACGAGAAAGGCTGACGGTCGAGAAGAGGTCAGTCCGTCATCGACCGCTGGTCACTGCTCTTACAACCGACACCACGTTCATACATCCGAAGATGGACTTCCTAGCGTCCCCGTTCTTCGCTGATGTTACCCGACCGCAACTCGACCCCATACGGCTGCTGATCAAGTCGCAAAGTCGGACTGTGAGCCCTGACATGTTGGCGCCAGTTCGGCTACAGCAATCCGCCTCTTACGGATCAGTTCGCTAACGTGAAGGAGATGTGCCACATTTAAGGTTTCGATATGTCCGGAGCGAGTCGGCTCTCCAATGTGGACGACAAGGCCTGCTGATCATCGATCCTTGGTGCTACGGTGATGAACTTTTTGGGACGGCCCTTAACCTTATTTAGAATACCTCACAATCTGACAAGAGTCATTCGAGTGGTCACAAGAAGAGCCCATGTCGCAAGGATCAGAGTTGGTCTGTGAAGTCAAATTCCCTCTGAAATCCTACGGTATACCCTATTTATTCCTATAGAGGCGGTGATCTGACATGCGGGAGAAAAAGATTTCACTTAGAGCCTGTACGGTCATTCTGCACAGGACCCTTCGTCACGAAAAGACATGCCCGTCCAGTTTGCCCCCTCAAGCCGCACGAATAATCAAACAAAGACGCAGATATCGACGACGAAAGACCCATTCTCGAAATCGAGCAAGAAGCCAAGATCGAAAGATAGATGATATATCGAGCGATACGCAGAGTCAACTCCGGAACCGACTTGGAGATGATCCCTGTTCACCCTCGATATGGATCTAGTCACAGCAGGCTACATCATCCTAAATATCAAATGAAACGGACATGTCAGACTAGAGACTTTGAGAGGCAATATGACAGTTATCTGTCATTTTCGAGAGGTTTGAGGGCCAGTAAGATGAATAGCAATACTGATCTTCTTTGTGATGGTTCATAACTACTGTACATGATTAACTGTCGATTGAGCTCCGCGACGGCAGTCGTGACTCAGCTCGGTCTGGGCCATATGAGGACGAATCTCAGTACGTAGATATTAACAAGCGAGAGAAGTACGCTAAAGACATCAGCGTATGTCAAAAAACTCGGTGCTCCTGGCATGCCATCATGATGGTGTTGTTTATCGTTTCATGCGCCAACGGCCATTGAGCCACCCAACGAGTAGCCCCCGTATCGCTAACATATATTAATAGGTCTTGACAGCATGTCAGGGCCAGCTGGTAGTTATATTTAAGCTGGTTTGTGTACCTCGGACATTCCGAAGTTTCATCCAGATTCGATCAGTCCCTTTCACGAGATCAGTGGTAAATTTGTCGGCGTGATACAGGAACGGGCTGTGGTTTGTATATGTCCTGACGAGGTCAATTTACGATGATAATGCCTACTTTCCCTATTGCCAAATCTCGACTTCAAAGGCGCGCTGGCTAAGCTACCATGGTTTCAAACCGTGTCGATCAGGAGACCTTTGTCGTGCGACGCTTCCCAGCTGGTAAGAGCTTAAAGGGGATGGGCTGTATGAATATTAACGAGACACTCCCTCCCCTCCGGCAAGAAATCGAGAAATCTCATGATTAGCATGGGCTCACACATCGCTACTCAGTATTGCAAGTCACAATATTCGGAGGATATGTGTTGTTTACTTGGCCATCAGCAACATCTGAACGGACAGAAAACCCTTAGGATCACCTATTAGAACTTCACCAACAAGAATATTTCTAAAGAGCAGACTGCAGCCCATTAATGGGTGAGTAAAATACATGGCTGTTAACAAGCGACTGAACCCAGTGGTGTTATGAGCTGTTGTCATGTCCTCTCATCCCTCAAAGCTTCGGTTGTACCTCGAGGGTCAAAAATGACCATACGTTCTCGAAGTCAACGTATGGTATCTGCGTGATGGCTACTAGCTAGATAGATAACAGCTTGAATGATAGTAGAAGACATAAAACAAGCCGGAACCCGGCTGCGCGACAATCGACATCCATGTCATGAGAAATCGACGATACATCGCAACAGCACATCCACCTCTTACACACGACAGCTTCGTGAAAACTAGTTGATATTTCCCGTAACTTGGCTCAACAGGGGATCCCAAGTCATACTGCCAAGTTAGTCCATTAATCTTCTCCGTGCCCCAGTTTACACAAATGCGAGTCCAAGCATATGTCCAGACTTATGCTTGAGGTACAGAAGACCTTGTGAACACGCAGACCTAACGACCATAATCGAACCGTCGAACCATAATCGCCAAACTCCTAAATCGAGCACAGCGTCATCACTTGACCATAACGACGAGATTAGAGCCAGAAGGAGTGATTGTGAGTCCTCCCCAGGCAAGAGACAGGATCTTGCAACAGACTTGTTTCTGGGGAAAGGTTTAACAAACGTCGTCCTGCCGGACCTGGGAACGATGACTTATCAGACATCTGAAAGGTTAACACGGACAATCTCTGAACCTCGCCTGGTATCACTTTACGCCCGTAAACCACTGCCTTTCGTACTGCATAGTTCGCAGTAAAGACAGCTGTTCATTGACTGAAGACAGTCACCTTAAAATTCAGATACCAGGTTTCAACAGCAACCAACGCGTACAAATCGATGACTTGACATACGAGGACTCTCTTGATGGATACCCCTGACCGATACAGCCTTCTGCTCGATGCCTGACACTACCTTCCATCATCACTCAATATTATGAATGCACTCTACTGTCTCCCAGAGCTTCCCATGACAGTAGTTAGAGACAACACTTATTCTGCGCCTCTTCAACAATCTGACGAACTGTTGTTTAACTGAATTCAGGCCAGATTAATTATAGCTTCAAGACCACGGCTTTCCCAACTTCGAAGCAGAAGGGTTGTCTTGTTTAACAAAGAGTATATACGGCTTCCATACCACCATACTCGGCCAAACATCTACAGCGTGCGGTCTTACGAGACCAAGAATTTGACTTGTTTCTATTTAGCCGTCTGTCACGATTTAGCTGCGAAAGTATCGTCCATTGAGAAACATGAATCCTCGACTCTGGCATCTGGTGACCAGTTTACGGCTGTCTACGACCTTCCAGCCGAGACCTGAGAACGAGACCGGGCCCATCTGATGGTTCGAAGAATGAGGCTCCTAGAGCACTGTCGCTTTAAGTCGTGAGCTCAGTGCGTGTGGATACTTGCTCGATGGTGATGACGTGACTCTACTGGATGATGACGATCCATGGTATTGGGTGATGAAGAAGGAGCTCGAAGGTTATCGGACGGCGGTCCGCTGTCGGAAGGGCGATGTGGAACGGTCCAAGGCGTCGAGATACTGTAGCTTTCTATAATATTTCTCGCCATGTTAGAGAGTCGTTTACCGAGCTGGAAGGAAATTAGTTGTAGAGATCTTGGTCATTGATGATAGACGAAGGAAAGTCCAAACTCAGGCTTTATGTTAAGACTTTGGTGAGATAAGAGCTTGTTTCTACTCTAGCGGTAGAGTTTTGGGCTTGTTATGATGTAGGAAGTGCTTTAATCTTGTCTGAAGAATGTCCGGCCTTGCTCCCTTCGACAACTTTTGTTTAGGGAATGAATAGTGAACAGATCGCCTTCGAGTACTGGCATTACCATATCTTATACTATCAGGGCTATCCCACTTTAAGTGGGTGAAAGAGTCTGTAGTGAGTGCCAGATTCTGCTGCAGCCGCCAAATTTGATGCCATTGTCTCCTTCACACACAGCCGAAAACGATCGGTTTTTTTAGTCTGTATACATTAATATGCATATTATTGCTAAATGGTAACTCATCAGAAAATTTCGCATCACCTTTAACGCACAAAACAAGTCTCATTAATGACAATACGGCGAGCCACGAGTGAGGTGAGGCGACGCGAACTAGAATTGCCGTCTTGCAGTACGATTTCATTTGGTTTATTTTGTTTTTCATCATGTCAGGCATTCGAGTTCAACCGATCCTGACTTGAATAAGCAGGCATGGCTATACTTGCAGGTCGAAATCCAACACGCTATGTGTAGAGTTGAAAGAAAACGAGGTTGCGCCGAGGATTCTTGTTGAATTCTTGTCTCGTAAATTTGGTCTTTCGTTGCTGCAGGGTAACTCAAACTTTGACTGTTGATAAGATAAGCCGAATGTGGATTAGTTGTGCTGCTTGATTTAGTACCAAACCCGGTTTATTCCCCAATGCCGGTATTATCACCCCACCAACGAGCTTATCTTATCACATCACAACAACTTCGCGTCAATCCATTCCCAAAATCAGTTCCCCATCATTATCACACAACAATGTCCTACTCAACCCAACTAACAGCCTACATCGACGGCTGGCTCAACACATTTATCGAATCGCCAGACCAATTCTGCGATAAACCAATTCTCAATTGGAACTTTATGCCGACGCCTCCGAGCTCAGAAATTACACGATCGCCGAAACGGCAACGATGTAGTGATGAGCAAGAAGAGGAGGAACAGACGCCTAGACCACAAGCACAATCACAATATCAACATACGCGTGACGGAGATGTCTTTGAGGATCCAGGGCCTTCCAGCCCACCGCGATTCGCGCTTCCAACTCGACCATTCTCCAATGCGCCAAACCTGCCTCCATCATCTTCAGCATCCGGTACATCTACATCCCGCTCATCCAGCCCTGTCAAGCGCAGCACTCTTGGACTTTTATCCAAGCCTATCTACTTTACCACCATAAAACGAACGCATCTACCGACACATATTCACAAAACTTACGACGCTGTCTTCAATATTGTAAACAATAACAGGTTTATGCCATCAGCTATTAGACAGCAGCTTGAAGACAATGGCGAGGATGTTTTAGACCAGTGGTTTTTTAATGACATGGGCGGGGATGTTTTCAAGGAGCTTAAAAAATTGAGCAAGATTCAAGCCAAGGCTGTGGAAGTACAAGTCGAAGAAGCATCTGAGGGAACGTGGAATCTCGAAGTTCACGGGCCATTGCTGGAACTTGCATTCAAGCCCTTTTCAAGGTTACGCCGAACGCTTCTCACACACGCATCTGTCAGCAAGCCATTTATCCCACCTACCAGCAAAGGCTCCTACTACCCAGCCACCAAATCTAAGATGATCGACTGGGGGATTACCATTTCTCCTCCGGAAGCAATGGCAGATCATATCAGCCGTTCGATCAACAGTTTACCAGTGTCTCAACGAAGCATCAACCAGACGATATATGGGCCTGTTAGAAACAAGCCTGTAGCATTACCTATCGAGATAAAGATCGCCAGCGGATCCCTTGAAGAAGCACGTGGTCAGCTTGGCCTCTGGATAGCAGCGTGGTATACCAGGATGAACGCCTTAAAGTCATCTGGTGAGAGTATGATTGCTATGCCTATGATTATTGTTATGGAGCATGAATGGAAACTTTTATTTGCTGTTGACCGGGGCGAGTCTATTGTAAGTGCTACTACTTAGTTGGCATTGGTAATACTAATGATATACAGGATATTGTCGAGAGTTTGTCGATCGGGCATACGATGAACTTGGAGGGTTTATATAAGATTGTTGCCGTTCTGAGGGTTTTAGGGCAGTGGATGGAGGGGGAGTATTTAGAGTGGCTAGAGAGATGGCTTGGTCTGAGTGAGACTCGAGTTGGTTAAGGTCTACTGTAATGACTGTTTAACACTTGGCTGTGGAGCTTTGTTCAATACAACCAAGAGGGTGTTGCTGGTTACTTTCTAAAAGAACACTGGGCTACTGCGAAAAGGACGAGAGAGGGAGCTGTAGTCTCCGTACGTCGTGCGGTTTTACACTAATCACCCAGGAGGAGATGGATGAAAATAGGGCGGTTGGCGGTTAAGTGGGATCGTCTGAAATCGATGTCAAACGATCCAAGGCCGACGTCGGTCACTGTGTGCAGGGGTTTTAGAGCTTTATTATGTCTAAACGGGGTGTCTGTCATTTCATCAACCTCCCTAGGCATTACTACCTATTTGTCGGGCCTACCGGGGAACGTGTTTTAGATGCAATCCTTGACACCTGGTTTGTTGTAGCCGGGGGACGTCCAAGCTAATGGCGAAGTTCTTACCCAACACTTAATCTTGGACCTTTGCGGCGGCTAATTACTTGGCACCAGGCGAATGATGTTTTATAATTTGAGTATACTATACCCATGGAGGAGAACGGGCACTTCTCTCGTCGTCCTCATATATATTTAATAATGTCGGATGTCGATACATGTAATTGCAGGGTAACACATTACATAGTACAGACTCCTGCAGCCTCAATCAACTGATGAGGCCTCTCACCCGCTGACGGTAATTTCAGTCCTTCTTAGGCTCGATGATATGACTTTAACGTATTGCTTCGGCCAGGGAAGATACCAGCGTCTGCTGATCGAGGGGAATCAAGAAGTTAAATCATTCACAACAGGGTCAACCACTAGCGACTGCATGACCTTGGTCAATATTTGAAAAGAGACTACTCTTTCAGATGATGTTGTCTTGGCATTTGGATTGGCGTTAGGGCAGAATGCTTTCTCCATCCGCTGTCAACAAAATTACACTGCCGACGATTGCATATCTCCCCTGCCTCTCCTGAGTAAATTGTAAAGTTAGCCACAGCTCTAGCAGTATGTAGCCGTTCCAAAATTGTGAGCATGACATCGTCACAGAACGCTGATTTATCGTGAAGCGAAGGAATGCTATCGGTTAGGCAAGTGTTGACATAGGCAAGATACAGCAAAATTCTCCTCCCAATGGTAAGCTCACATCAAAAGATAATAGACAAACGGCCTGCGCCTATTTCCTTCTCTGGCTCGTACGCTGCCTATCAATGAGATTCCGCCATCTGGATTTGCCGTTTCATCGACCCCCCAATTCACATCCATGGCGGCTCAAAATTTGGATGAAGTGGAATGGGGGCAAAGTGTCAGCCGCCAGGCGTCTCTCAGACTAGAGCTCGACGAATAGTAATGTCAGGTTCTTGACGTGATATGACGAGGATTCACAGGAAGTCTGAGCAATTCTGGCCTTCGATAATGGTTTGGAGTTAATGCCAGAGGCTCTTGATGTTTCCTTGGGTGTATCTTGTTTTGGCTTTAACCTTCAACTTTATCAAGCCCAGGCTTTCCAAATCTCTCAATAATATCAAGAATATTTTTGGTTGTGGCTAAAGAGCCAGTTTCCTTGGGTGTATAACGAAGGGATTGAACCCATCCGACGTAGAGATTTCGCCGAACGGCTTTTACCTGCTTGTCGCTGCTCGAGACTCCGACCTAGGTCTCTCCTTCGGGATGTATAGTACCATTCATTGGCGTGGAGAAATGGCACAGCCAATGGCCTAGGTTCAGCAAGTCGGGTAGTAGAGTCTTCCGTCTCAGCTGGTCAGGTCACCTCGGGTATTTGATCACATTCTTGAACTACTGAATAAGAACAACCATATGAGTGACAAGCCTACACGGGCTCACATACAAGAGTTAAAATCGACTGGCTCTTCCACACCAGAGACAGTCGATCCTGGACCCTAGAGTTTTGGGAAGAAAGGGAGCTGGAAGTCTCTCATAAACCATACAAGGGGTAGTCTCAAGCCCCGACAGCAGTTACTGGGGCCTTCGTTATCTCATGTGCTGTGAAGTTGCCGAGTGATGTTTGCCTAGCAAGTAACGAGAGGGGAGCCTAGTATACGCTCTATAGACCTCCATAGATTGTCAGAGTTAGCTCAAAGGTCTTAAATACCTTTGTAAATATCTTACAATGCTTTCGGATTACTAGGAGCTACCCTGGGGCAGTGGCCGTCGAGTGTCCCTCCAGTGTCGCCGCATCCCGGGAAGCTAACTGCCATGCTGGCAATGGAATTCCGAGGAATCAATGATTACCAAACTAGGCACACTGATGTGAACTCGCGCTTCGAGCGCTTGTAGGCAGTGTCGATGCCATAGACCCTTGGGGTGCCAAGCCATCTTTAAGGGCCCGTTGTCTAGTAGATGACGGGAGGCAACCCTGGCAGATGTACCATGCGTCAACTCGGTTGCATTACTGTTGAATCACTGTTGGTTGCCTTTGGTATCTTATCCAGTCATATGCCATTGAGAAATAGAGTTGTGGCTGATATTGTAGGTAACCTTATTGAATTTGAGATACTGTTACTTTTCGGTCTGTGTAGAGACCTCTATTATTAATATTTCTATAGGTTTCATTAGGATAGCTAGATCTCTGTTTTAAAGGTGCTACCAGACTTCAGCTGATAGAAGAAATACCTTGCATAACTCCTTCGGAGCACCGGGAAGCCTACCTACTACCATGAAGTTGCGGTACCAAACCAGTTGAAACTGTGCACATAGGTTCCGAATGCTAAAGCGATTGTCTGAAAGTAGTCTCACGACCGATGAATTGTCGCTTGCAGGATGGTCGACAAGTGTCCTTCGGCTCTAAAGTAAGTAGAAGTCAAAATGATATTGAGACATCCATGGTCGATTATCTTGTTTGAAGAATGATAGAAGGTTCTGCTCTCTTGAACTCGATACAAACATATTGATACATTACAATATAATAAACCCGGGAACTCCATAATACGGCTGCTCTAGCTCGCTCGTGGCACATTTCAAGTGACCGACCAGGCCAAGAGACAACGCTATCTGAGCATTACAAACCGAACATAAGTAAGTACATGACACACTTGAGTTTAAAGGGTGGAATGGACATACCTTTATCGCCGAAGTGGCAAGATTACGTGGGAATGGCTGGGCTGCGACTTTATGGGTGGTTTGGCTTGAGTTACTAGCCACTGCAGTGCGATACAGCCGAGCGTAGCGCGGATAACCTTAAATCCTACGATCGAACAGAAGCAACCAAGACCATCTGTGTGGTCTTCAGCCGTCTTGAACGCAATAGTATCAGCTTCACACCCGCGAAGTGATATCGTCGAAGAAAGGCAAATCAAGCGACCAGCCATAACAATAGGTCAGAGCTTGTGACCATGTCTCTAAGACAGTATCTTGGCTATGTGGTCATGAGAGGAACGTAAGATGAATTGAGAGGCTCTTGTCCTCGAAGTGATAGTATTGAGATTAGATATATGAAGTGCTGGAGGTTAATCTAAGCGGAATTGAAAGGTAGTATAATATCACCTGTGGAAGGGCATGTAGTACGGTAACTTGAGAGTAGACTGGAACCTATAGCTGTGGCGGAATTGATAAGTAGTTGTTTCACTTCCATACGTACGGATCGAGTGTGAAACCATGGAGTGTCGCTCTGCATGTAGGAGACAGTTTCGCCGCCAGCCAACATCGATCATCCGATCGTCCGAAAGGGGGAAGGGCCGTGGAAAGATCAATGGAGCTAAATCCGAGTCTGACTAGTCGAATAAGGCTATAAAGGCCATGACACTGGCGATAAGTTGCTTGATCCTGCGGGTGATGCGGTGATAGATTTCGCGGCCAGCCACGACTGACCAATAACCTCTACTAGGGTTCCAGGGGCGCTGAATACCTGGCTTCTCAGTGAAGGAAACTCGTCGAATTGAAGATGCATGCTTGGTGTTATATCCTTGGGTGATTGATAGCTCCACGTCAACATCGTCAACGACAACAAATACAACGTGCCACAAACCTCTCAGCAACAGTATCGATACTGCGATATATTCTAATCCTGTTTTTTCTGTCGAAAAAATAAAGACCAGGACCAACATTTGCTTTTGTCACGCGATGTTCATACACGAGTGATGAACATGCAACAGGCATCGTCTTGTTCCGTCAGGGCAGTTGCAGACTTGCGCTGAGATTTCACTTGCTAATTGGCAGTGGGATCGCAGGATAGTGAGAATAGATCGAATCCGCGTGCTTTCAGTGTAAGTGGGAGGGATCTGGCTGTTAGTATTCGTTCACTTCCTGAACGGCATCGTCAGGAAAATCCTTTTCAAACCGAGCCCTAGAGAAACAAAAACCATTTCTCACATTGACATAACCTCCATACTATTGTTTACCATGCAACCTCTTATTCATGGATCCGCTATTGAGTGTCATTTCTCAAAACGACGTGATTATAGGTCTAACGTTTACCGAGCGCAGGCTTCCGTACGAGGAAGTCAAGACTGTCCGTGAACGAGAACATGCCAAAGCAGTACAACTATCATTTGCTTACGAACGGTATTATGTCAAGGGAACTCGTGGCGCGACAACCAGTCCTTCCTTTTGTAACTTGCACTTTATGGCCGAGACTTTTTGATTCAACTCTTAAGATGCTTGATGGATTGGGAGATCTTGACCTCACTGGGACGTACATAACAAACAAAACGAGTCCCGTGACATGGCTCTTGCAGATGTCGTCAGCCAGAGCATAGTGGCCTGGTTTACTAAAATTCGGTTTCATCGACTTTTCCTCTCCTGAATGGCCAAATCTCTTCGTCCATCCTACAACTGGCTTTCACTCCTCTTTGTTGTACTTATTGTCCATATTAAACGTCTACTTCCTTCCCCTTCCTTACTAATCACCCCATGACCTAGTGAGATATCGTCCGCGCGTTCTTGTTGTTCCAACTCTATCGAGGTCGTATGCAGGCTCCATCCCTAACAGTTGAGTCATCGTTTCTAAGACATGTAACCTCATACCACCTACATGGAATAGGTAGACGTCATCCTTGTCGCTTACAGAGATACCTCTTT